CAGTGGTGCCGCCTTTCTCACAAGGGGAAGGTCCTGAGTTCGATCCCCGGTACCAAAAAAAAAAAAGACTATTAAGAGTGATCTGTACTCACCTTTTCCATTTGACCTCCCATTTCCTCTTCAATCCCAATCCACTAGAGCTCAATTGGCTCGAAGATGTCTCAGGGTGTGCCATCTTGACAACTCCAATGGCCATCTCACTTGCCTTAGCAACTTTTGACACAATGGATCATTATCTCCTTGAAGCACTTTCTGCTCTTGGCTTTCAGAGTATGACGTACCTCTGGAGTTTCTCCTACTGCAGTTCTTTTTGTTCATTTCTCCTTCTATAGTGGACCTCTGAATACTAGAGTGTTTCTGGGATTGAACCCTTATTTTCTCCTCCATATGCTAACACCATGGTATCCCATGGATTCTAATGCCAGGAAAATGCTAGTAACTACCAAATCTCTATTTCCAGCTCTAATTTCTCCACTGGTTCTGGATTCATATCTCCGCCTGCCTCCTTAACATAGTCACTTAGGTGTCTAACTCATCAGGTGGAAAACATTTTAAATCTTAAATGGCTCCCTTAGTCCTCAAACTTGTTCCTTGCTAGATCTTTCCCATCCCATTGAGCAGTGCCATCATTCATCCAGCTTCTCCAGCCTAAGTCCTCCTTCGTGTCTCTGAAAGATGTATTCCTCATCAAGTTCATTGGCAGGTCTTGAGGGTTCTACTTTCAACATTTATTCTGAATCATCTCCATTTCTTTTTTTTTATCATCTCCATTTCTACTGCCCTAATGCAGGCAAACATTATCTCTCTTTGGACTGGACTATTGGAAAAACTTCCTGAGAGGACTCACTGTTTCAACTCCCTTTCTTCCAACCATTTTTGTTTGTTTTTTCGTTTGTTGAGACAGGGTCTCCCTATGTAGTTCAGGGTGGCTTTGAATTCATTATGTAACCCAGGCTGGCCTTGAACTCACAGGGATCCTCCTGACTCAGTCTCCCGAGTGATGGGATTACAGGCATGTGCCACCACGCCTGGCTCCAACCAATTTTCACATAATGGCCAAAATGCTCTTTTAAAAATGCAAAGCAGGGCTGGGGATTTAGCTCAGTGGTGTCACTGCCTGCCTTGCAAGCATGCCCAAGATCCCAAGTTTGATCCCTGGTACCAAACAAACAAACAACAACAAAAATGCAAAGCAGATTAGATCATTCCACCACTCGCTAAGATCCTCCTATGGTTTAAATGAAAGCTAGACCTCTTAGCTGGCCTACAAGACTCTCTGTAATTGGCTTCTACCTGCTTCTTGGAACTTTGTCTTACTAGGGTCCTCCATAGCCACTAGGGCCTTTATTCTGTCCCTCAACATATGAAGCTCATTATTACCTCTGGGCCTTTTCAGTAGCTGTTCCTTCTGCCTGGTGTGCTCTTCCCTCAGATCGTAAATGGCTGAATCCTTCCCATTATTCAGCTCAAATGTCCTCTTTTCAAAGAGGACTTTTCAAATTATGCTGTCTAAAATAAACTCCCATCTCATCCCCTCACTAAAACTCATTCTGTTATATTGTGTTCAGAGCATTTGTTGGCTCCTGAACTTAGGCTGCTTGTTTATTTTCTGACTTTCTCTATGAGAATCTACTCCTCATTAGGGATCTGGTCTGCCTTGTTCATAGCTGGCCCTTCAAATATAAAGGCTCTCAATTAACATTTCATAGACAAATTAATTAGCCCTATTTTATAGGCAAGAAACCTAGTCTCAGAGGGATAAAAGTGACTTGCCCAACACAGGTGAAAGTGGGCGTAACATACGTTTTTCTTTTCTTTTTTTTGGTACCAGGGATTGAACTCGGGTCCTTGTGCTTTCAAAACAGGTGCTGGAACCACTGAGCTAAATCCCCAGCCCATAGGATCACAACATTTTAAGTGACAAGGCTGGGGCCAAGAATCTAGGTGATCTAGAGGGGCTTTGTGGTACCTGCCTGTAATCCTAGTACTCTGGAGGCTGAGGCAGGAGGATCACAAGTTGGAATACAGCCTGGGCAATGTGGTGAGACCCTGTCTTAAAAAATAAAAAACGAGCTGGGGATGTAGCTCAGTGTGAAGACCCTGGGTTTAGTTCCCAGCACTGAAAAAAAATCTAGGTGATTGGAGACCAACACCCACATCTTCCCTGTGTGACATTCTCCTCCTCTTCACCTTATTTCCTGCATTTCCCTTTGCTTAAATTTTCTGTCCCCTTCTCTTTCCCTCCCCTTCTTATACTTTGCTTGCTTCTCTCCAGGCCTGCTCCCAGGCCTACCTTTTTTCTCCATTTATACTCTTCATTTGGCTTGATCTCAGCTCTCCCTAGAGAGTCCCTGTTGTTTTCTAGGGCAGCTCCCCAAAACCTTCTGGAAGCCCACAGAACTAACAAAAGCTGATTCTCTAGTGATGTGACAGAATGTGGGATGCCTACCTTGCTGCATTCCAGAGACAAAGGGATGTGGATGGTGGAAGAGAGGAATTTGGGGGCCATGAGCGCAGGTCTTGGGGATTCAGAGAAGCATTCTTATCTGTTTCCCTCCAAGATGGGTCGAATACCCCCAGTCACTTCACACTGGCTCCCTCCTCTTTCCCATGGTGCCAATGGAGTGACCCAAAAAAGGAATCTGCCTTGGAATTCAACCTTGATCATCCACCCCTGGCACTGATCAGGAGAAAGGACAGGGGAGAGGAGAGAGAGAGAAAAGGGGAAGAGAGAACATGTGAGATAGGAGGGGAAACAGAGAAGGGAGGACAGAAGAGCCAGGGAGTGATACAAGGAATGGCAATTAGGGAAAGAGGAGAATGAGGGAAGAAGGAAAATAAAACGGTGAGAATAGTAGAGGAAAATGAGATGAAAGTACTGAATAGGTTATGCTTGTCTGCTGTATTTCAATAAACCCTCAGGAGAAAGGGGCTTGGTTGGCTGCTTCCCCTTTATCCGAATCAGGCGATTACCTTGGAGTCCCTGGATCTGCTTGGTGAACACCTCTGCCTGCTGGGCACTGGCCAGCCGTTCATCTTCCAAGAGCCCTGCAGTAAGAGGGGGTGTCAGTGTGACTCCGAGGAAGCGCAGCATCTTTGCCCCCCACCCCACCCCCATCACAAGTGCTCACCCTGCAGTTCCAGGGAGTCATCTTCATGCTGCCCAGCCAGTTCACGGGTCTCCTCCAGCTCTGCCACCAGCTGGAGCACCTGAGCCCTGAGCTCCTCCAGCTCCGTCTCCGTGAGGCTCAGGCCCCGGTGCTTGCCAACAGACAAGGAGCTCACACTGCCACTTTTCTGCACTTGTTCTTCTTCTTCTTCTTCTTCTTCTTCTTCTTCTTCTTCTTCTTCTACCTCTTCTTCTTCTTCTTCTTCCTCTTCCTCCTCTTCCTCCTCATAGAGAGCTGGGAGTAACACCTCCCCTAGGAAGACACCCATCCCACCAAGGAGTCAGTACCCACTTCCTGTCCGTAGTCCTTCCACAGCCCCCCACCCCAACTCACTATCCTTGGACCAAGATGGAGGAAGAGTGCCACTTCCACCCAGGAGGTTCTGGGCAGGACCTGATGAGGCTGCAGATGTGAGGGTCAAGTTTGGAGGCATCCCCTCCCCTCCCCTCCCAAGCCCTTCTTGGCCAATATCACACTTGCTGGCCCCTTTCTACCACCCTTGCCCCCTTTCTACCAGCAAATGGAGCAGCTTGGTGCTGGCTCAGCTGTGAAAAGCCTGCAGAAGGATACCTGGCTTTTCTAGTCTGGTGTCTGGATAGTAGGACAAGTAGGCAAGAAAGGGTTTAGACACTGTGTGGTGACTTTAGGTCAAATGGGCCAAGAGTTTCTTTTGGGGGCTTGTAGGTTAGAAAATCATCCAGGTGTGTTGTGAAACATTAGCCTTTCCATAATTAGAAAGTATTGACTGTCTGTAGGTAGTAGAAAAAAACATCTGGGTGAAATGATCCTAAATATTTTAGTGGACAAACACTGGGGTCCTTTCAAATGTATGTTATCAAATATGTTTTTCTAAAAAAAATTTTTTTTTTTTTTGAGGCAAGGTTTCACTTTGTAATTCAGGCTGGCCTTGAACTATGTAGCCCAGGCTGCCCTTGAATTCGTGGCAATCCTCCTGCCTCAGCCTCTTGAGTGCTGGGATTACAGGCATGCATCACCACACCAGGCTGTTTTTAAAATTTTCTAACAAGTCCATCTGGCTTTCCTCAGCTGGTGTCCTGCCCTTTTCCCCTGCTGACCCAAGGTGGTTTTCAGGGGAAGTTTTAGGTTAAACTTGTGTGTAAAAGACAGCTTGCCATATTAATGGTTTTAAAAAGTGGGGTTTGGTGCTGGTCCCCAGCCTCCAGTTGGTGAGCATTCTCCCCTTCCCCCCTTACTGCATTGCAGTTGCTGTAGATAGCAAAATCTTGCCTGGACAGCAACTGTCTGCTTTGTTTAGAAATTCTGAATCTTTGCTTTCACTTTCCCCAATACCTGCAGCCTAAGGTGCATCTGGGACCCCTTGTGTCATCTGACCCCTCTTATAGGGAGCAAGCTTGCTCACACTGATTGGTCAGAGGGGCCTGGGGACACTTCACAGGAAGTCCTGTGAAATGTGTTGGCAGCAGCTGCCTACTCACAAGGGTTGTGGGGAGGCACATGTGTGAGGAGGTTGACTTCACCTGCCTCCCTCCTAGGCTCTGTCTTTCAGGCAGTGAGAAATGCTAGAAAACCAAAGCTACAAAGCTTCTATTAGAAGTTAATGGTGGTGGCTCCAGAAAGACAATTGCAATGCTTGTGTCCTTCGTTTTTAAAATAAGAGACAGCTTGGGATCTGGGTCGGCAGGCAATGAGAACAAACCCCCTGCTGAAAGGCTGCTTCAAAGCTCTGTCCAACAAGGCCTCTTTCTCCGTCTGGCAGCTCCCACAGGACACACAACCTGGTTAGCTGGGTGAAGAGGGCCCCAAAGGGTGGCACCCTGAACTTCCATCAAAGCCTTAGCCCAGGGAGGCCTGGGGCTCAGATGCTAAGGTGGAAGGGCCTGAGGTGAATTAAGGGAAGGCTGTGTTCTGGCTCAGAGCTCTGGGGTCAGAGGGAGGAAGGAGGGAAGGGAATTGGGGGAGGAGAAAGGGAAGACAGAAAACCTTTGGGGAAAACTCACCCTCCATAGCTTGCATCCCACGCCGTTCTAGGGAACCCCAGCGTTGGCCTTTCTTCCTCTCACAACCCTCAGACACCTCATAGGAGCCTACAGTGGTTACTGTGGGTCCTGTGGGCAGGAAGAGGAGGCATTGTGGGATGCCAGGGAGCTGAGGGCCGGGGTGTAGGGGGAGAGAAGAGGACATGTCTTGTAGCTCGGAGACCCCTGGGACCCCTGAGACTTGTAATCCCAGACAGAGGACGTGCCTGACTCAGTGTGCCCTGCTCTGCGACTCCCCGCCCTCAGCCACCTCTCAGGCTCTGCCTGCCATGACGACCCCAGCTCGAGCTGGCCAGCCTCTTCAGCACCCCCGTTCCAGCCTCCTCTCCCTAGCACGGGCAGAAAGAGGGTGTGTGTCTGTTTAGCCTGGGGAACAGGAAGGAGAGGAGCTAGGATGGGAGAGAGGGGCCAGGAGCCAGGAAAGAAGGGCTGAAAGGGGGCCTTGGTGCACACAAGGGGAGGCTATGAAGGGGGGCGTGCGGGAAGGGGCTCCGGGCCGGCCGCTCCCCTCCCTCCCCTCCCTGGACCCCGCCCCGCTCAGGAGCCTCGGGACCGAAGGGTGCAGGCTCTGGAACCCCACGGGCTGGAGAGGTGAGGTGGGGCGCTCGCGGGGAGGGGGAAAAGCCCCAGGCCGAAAGATGGGGAGTGGGCCAGTGGAGGCCAGGATGGAGGGAGCCAACGCGGGGCACAGGGCCCCGGAGCTGTGAGGCAGCGAGCGCCAGGGGGTCTGGAGGGAGGAGATTCGTGCAGAGCCGAGGCTGTAAGAGGTGAGGGAGAGGTGGCTCTGACCTGGGCCTGCGCAGCTCCAGCCGGCGGCTCCCGCGCCGGCCCCGGCGCCCGCCTCCATGGCCGCTCCCGCCGCCGCCGCCTCCCGGAGCCGAAGCCGCAGCCGTGGGGCCCGGACCCTGAGCCGGGTGCGCAAGGAGGAGGGAGGGAGGGCGGACCGAGGGGGCGGGGCCTGAGCCACCTGACACCGCCCCCGCCCCCGCGGCCCGGAAGCCCTCCCTGCCGCCTCTACAGCCCCGCGGGCGGGGACGGGGGACGGGGGATGAGGGGCGGACGGCGGGCGAGCACGTGCCCGCGAGGCGCCCCCAGGATCGCCTCACTGGGCGCAGGGAGCGACCCGGCTGGGGCCACAGATGTGAGGTTCTCGGAGCTTAGGTCTCCCCAAAAGGGAGCGACGGGATCCACTGGTCCTGGAGGTGGGTCCCGCCCCAGTGAGCGGCGCGTGGGAACCCTGTGCGCCGGGTGTCAGGACCCTGGCCTGTCCAGTGATCGGAGCAGAAAAGACAAGGCTGAGCTCTCTTCTCCTGACGCAGACACGCCGCTCGCCCCTCCTCCTCCCTCCACGCCGGTCTGGCGCCCCCACCACCGCGGTCAGCCGGGACCCCAGCCTCGCGCAGTGACGTCTCCCGCCCCACGAGGCTGGAGAGTAGGGAATCCGAGGCCGAGATCGCGGGGCTCTGATCTCTCTGCTTTCCCCACACTCCCACCAAAGTTGAGCCAGTGACCCACTTAGGAGGGGTCCTCCGGTGGTCCCATGCAGGCTCAGCGCCCAGAGACCCCACCCTACCGACCTGCCAACCTGCTAGGCTGGGGGCCACGTCCCCGTGGTAGCCGGTTCAGAGTGGGCACTGCTGATGTTCGCTCGCCCAGAGGGAGACTGGAAGTGCAGGAGACTGATTTCACCTGTTCAACCCTTCATTCATTCAAGGAGTGACTGCCAGGTTCTGGACCCTGACCATGCAGTTCTCGCTTCTCTGCAGGACCCATTCAAGATGGAAGTGGATGCATTTGGGAACGCGGGCTGCCCTGCACATCTGAACATTGTTGGGAAGTTCCTAAATCTGGGTCACACACCAATCCCTTCTCTTGCGTATCCTCTGCCAAGGTCTTTGTTCGACCCTGCAGGCTCCCAGGCTCACCAGCCCTCCAGGCTCCGGCGTAGGGGACTTGGGGGAGCTTTAGGGGCTGACAAGAAGCCCAGTTGACTGTTCTTCCAACCCAGCACAGCTCTTTCTGGTTCTACCTCAGCCAGAGGCACGTGAGCAGTTGCCTTTGGCTACTACCTCTGTGCAGACAGAGACAGGATAGGGAATAAGTTGTCACTTGTGACATCAACAAGTCCAAGCTCTCCTTAGGGGGAGCTCTGATCTTGAGTATTAAGACTAATATCTTCTGGCTCCTGGGGTGCAGGTCACTGGTTATCCTTGATTTGGAGAAAATTCAAGAGAGATCTGAACCATGCTATTCTTGGGAGCCAAACAGGCAACCCTGTTCAGACTAGTAGTGAGTGAGTTGAGGGTGAAGGTGAAGTTAGGGAGCAGGAGGAAAGACTTTAGCAGTATAGAGGAGGTGGGCTGTGGTTCAGGGGGGGGATCTCTGTCGGGCTAGGAGTGGTGGGTGTATCAGCCAGGTGATCAGTTTAGGAGGATGATCTGAATTAATTCTCATAATCTCTGGACTCAGGACTCACCCTCTTTCCTAATCCCATCCCAAGAGATCATCCTTTCTGAGGACTGATGCAGCCATTTATCCCCTTTTACCCTTATTTCTAAATGCCTAGATCCTTTCATTAAAAATTTAAAAATGAGTATTTGAAATATACAAAAAAAATAGCATTGAGAATAGTATAACAAATATCCATGTATGTAGGGCTAAAATCCAACTATTCATATGTTGCCACATCTGATTCTATGATTTTACATGTATATATCCACAAAGAATACACCATTTTTTTTTGCTTTAGAAATCTAAATGGTGTTGTATGGTATACTTTTGTCTGCAAACATTTTCTTCAGTTCGTTTACATTAATCCATCTTGTTTCCGATAGCTCCAGTTCATGGATACTATTTTGTTGCTGAATAGGCCACAATTTACTTATCTATTCTTCTGCCAGTGGGCATTTAGGCTCTTTCCACTTTTCCATATTAAAAATAATGCTGCAATGGGTAGTTTCGTGAATGGCTCCTTTGTGAGTGTTTCTCTGGGGCAGATATGAAGAAGTGGAATTTCTTGAACTCTGCTAGTTGTGGCCATGTTGTTCTATAAAGTAGTCAGACCAATTTAAACACCAGTAATCACAGCTTTATTTATTTATCTTGTTTATACTCTGGTCCTCCACTGACTTGGACATTACATATTCTATTTGTATTGTTTCGGTGATTATCTTTTTATATATTTTCTAAACATTCTTCCTTAAGTCTACAGTGACTGTACATTTTCTGAATAATAGAAGGAACTTCAAACATGTTAATTTTGGGACTACAGAAATGGTGGTGTTTAAAGTCTGTTTTATCCAACCTCTGTGTGTTTATTTTCAGGGGCACTTGATAAGGGTATAGCTACATTTGTGCAGTCTTTTATGGTACCAGAAGTTCTCCTGTAGATTCTCTCTATTATGTTTTACTTCTTTAGAAATAGGGTCTTGCTATGTGGTTCAGGCTGGCCTTGAAGTCACTATGTAGTCCAGGCAGGCCTTGTACTTACTGTGATCCTCCTGTCTTAACCTCCAAATGCTGGAAGTACAAGTGTGTGCCACTAGGCCCAGCTATATTCTCTTTATTTTTAATGTTATTTCTAACACGTCCTGTGACTCTAAGGTGCATTATATTTTCTGATTTAATCCTCTCAGCAACTCTGAGAAATGAGTATTATTGTTCCCTTTTACCAAGGGGAAAACTGAATCTCAGAATTATAAACTTTAATCCTTCCTAGCTTTTGGACCTTGAGTCCAGTGCATTTCATAGCATAGGCTTTACATGGAGAGCTTGCCTGTTTTTGACCTCCAGCTCAGTTCAGCCTCCGACTTGTTCCCGTCACTGGCTCTTCACCTGAGGCCCTCTGAGGGGCTGTCTTTGTGGGTAATGAAAGGCAGCCCTTAGACTAACCTCCTCAGGCTCAGCCAGATACTGTGCACTCTCCTGCCCAGTTTGGCCTCTATGGAAATGATGGGGGTATGACAGGTCATGTGGCTAACGGGGAGACCGTCTGGAAAGAAGCTTGTCTTCAGGATCCTTTAATTACACACGGTGAGGCCATTTCTTCACCTAGCCTAGAAAAGACAGAGTGTATGTGGCAGCCAGCCAAGGAAGAACAGAAGAAACAAAAAGTAAAACAGGGCTCGTCCAGGATTTGAACCTGGGACCTCTCGCACCCTAAGCAAGAATCATACCCCTGGACCAATGAGCCACTGGCAGTTCAATCTGGCCAGATGTGTCATCTCTGCCACATCATCATCATTAGTAGCAGCAGCAGCCATAGGAGTTTGTGGTTCCTAGGATCTGCCTCTTTCCCTTCTAGGCTGGCTCCCAGGCCAGGCCGGCAGCGGTCTAGCAGGCCTTGCTCCTGGGCTCTCTCCTGTTCCTGCTGAGCCTTGGCCAGAGCCACACAGATACTCCTGTGACCCAGGGCTCCAAACAGGGCCCATTCTTCTAAGCATGGTTGAGGGGAAAAGGTAGGAAGGAGACAGGCCCTGGCAACCACCACTTTCCTGGGCAACCCCAGGGCTGTGTGAGGCAGTCTGGAGTTGTATCAAGTTAAGAACTATCCTTCTTCCTTTACTCACGATCAGATGAGCAGAAAAAGTTCCCCAAACCATTAGATTCCTAGGAGAGGGCCCAGAAAACTGTCCCAGCTCACCCTCAACAAGGTGAAATTTGCTAAATCACTCAGTTTCTGCATCTGCCAAGTGGGGAAGGCATCACCTGCCCTGTCTGCCTTACAGTTGAGAGGTGAGAGGCTGTTTGTGAAAGTACTCTGCAAACGGTAAAGTGCTGTACAAAGGAGAAGAGCTGCGACAGCAACACAAGGCAAGGAAAAGCACACAACAGGAAAGTGGCCATTTAATGCCTGCTGTGGGCCAGGCAGTGTGCTCTGTGCTTTAGAGATCTTTTAAACCATGTAACAACCTGGTGAGGTCAGTGTCACACGTGCTGTAACATAAAAAAGCTTGCCTAAATTCAGCTTACATTTCGTATTTATCTGAATGCTTACACCCGCCTAAATTCAGCTTATTCACATTTGTCTGAATCTGAAGCCAATTTTAAATGCAGCACACAGCTACCTAGACTTTCTAGAAAATCAGAGAGGGAATACATCCTGCACATATACACACTGCCCCCTTCCCAGCCTGCCCTGCTCATCCTGCCAGGGAACGATTTGCTTACTGTGTAAGGATTGCCTGGGTAAGCGTCCTTCTGGTGGAGATAGCCCACCCCAAAAGAGAGAGGGGTGAGATCACATCTCAGATACCAGGGCCTTATAGGAGAGTCCAGTGGGCTCAGCCTGGCCCTCTCTTATCTCCACAGTGCCTGTACCACACCCATCACATCAGTACTGTCTTGCTCACTTCCAGGGGGCTGGCCTCGGTATGCCGGAGCTCCATGGAGACAGAGCCCTCTCTTGGTGGTCTTTGGGTCTAACCCTGTGTCTCGCCCTTGGCAGTCTTACTGATGGTGCAAACAAATCCCAAGCACTCTGTGTGCCTGGCCTGGGTGAGCTTTAGCCAGATCAATCTCGTTTAACCCTCAGCACAACCGTTGTTGTCATGGCTTTGCAAATATCTGTGGAATAAATGGATGAGTGAGTGAAAGTCTCAGGAGTGTGCAAAAAAAGTCACAAGTGCCACAGCTATTCAGGTGACTCTTCCCACTTGGCTTGGAGTAGAAAACACAAGCTTGGAGGAATCCTCCTACCTTCCTCCATTAAGCAGGCTTTCTAGTAAGCCAGTACCTGTCTTGGATAGGTGGGGAGAATGGCCCCCCACTTCCAACAATGGATTGGCCAGCATTTCTTTGTCACTAAGTCATAAAGTTATTGTTTTCACCCAGGACCGTCTCCACCAGGCAACTGGCTCTGCTGTCTAATCATGATCAGAAAG